ACTCCAATTAGTTGACGTAATCATTTTTTTTTTTTTAAATGAAGCAAACCCACATCCTAAATGAAAAGATAAAATGGACAGTGAGCTCATGCAGGTACATAAACATATTATTTTTATATTATTAGGTATGAAAATAGCGCCACCAACACAACTGATTTTCAGAATAAAAGACTTTCTGTTGAATAGATAGAGGCGAGGCTTAATTTCATTTTCATGGAAATACCAAAACATTAAAATTGATCATCTACATTACCTACACCATCACTGGACTACACTGCACTTGGGCAACTAGGTCTTAGTTTGTATGCACTTTAAGGTTCTATAGCCCACAAACTGCTGATATTCGAAAATTATACTAAGACTAGGGAAGTAAAACATGAACTTGGCATTTTAACTTGCATGAATGCTTGGTCCAGTAAGACTGGTTTGGCCGACTCGCCACAGGTATAGACTGGCTTGACAACAGAAAGATAACAAACAACCCTGGCATCAAAAGAAACAATGAAAACATTTAAAGCACATTACAGATCTGAAGCAACTGCAACATTAACGCAGAGGTAGATGCACAATAAATAGGAATGACAATATAGGTGTATAAAGCCGTGTACAACTATGTGGTTGCAGTAAACAGGGCTCTTACAAAAAAGAAAATATATTTGAACATAATGCGCAAATGTTCTTAAAATGGAGTGGCATTGGTGTGTGATCAAATAATCAATAGCTGATGTGGTTTGCGTAGTGGTTCCTTACTAGTAAGGGAAGACGTACATGATGAAAATAACGGCATTCGAGCAATTTTGTCCAGGAATTTAAACGAACAAATTTAATGTTTGCTACTTTTTAGTCTGTTCTACAGCCTGCAGATACACTCACTATCCTGAATGTATTAAATATTTTCAAACATGACTTCTTCATGCAGTTTAAAACTTGTGTTTTAGAGAGGTTTCAGGATAGGTGGAGATGGACAGAGAGCTTTGTGATTAAGACCTCTGTGAACCTGCCTGTGAACCTGCTTCTGTTTTACCACCTGCAACACTACCTGCCCCCACTCTGCCAGATTAACCACAAAACATCACTGTTAATAGATGAATGATACATATTCATGTGAACAACACAGAGTAATTCACAGGTGGGAAGCAGCAGTAAAGTGCTTGGCTAAGTACGTAATCTATGGTCTGAATTAGGGCTGCAGGATATATCGAAAATGTATCATGATATCAACGTGTGCGATATACATATCGCAAAAGACGGCAAAAACTTATAGAAAGATCTCAAATGATCAATGTGTGTGGACTCAGTGGAGCTAAATGTTAAAATGTTTTAATTGAAATGCTGCAAAAACTGCAAGTAATTTCATTACCTACATGTAGCTGTGTTGAAGTGATGACAGGAGAAACTGCAATACAAATGCTGCTCAATGTTAATGTATAATAAGTAATTGATTATTACTGGTCTCAGACCTTGCACATTAAAGGCAAGAGGGAAAGAAATCAACACTGATATTAATATGTGGGCACAACTGAAGCAAAGCCAGTATCAAAAATAAATCAAAAGCAAAAGAAGCTGCAGCAAACAAGGTAAAATCAAAACATTGGCTTTGTGGAAACGGGAGATTTTTTTTTCACCATCAGTCACAACATTAAGACACTAAGTTAAGGATGGAATGGTCGTCAAATTTTCCACTGTGAGGTAAAAACTGAAATGGGGAGTTGATCTAAGAGAATTCATTAATGATTTCAGCTGCCAAAATAAGGGAAACAACAGTATGATTAACCTCAGTTCATTATACAGAACCACAGCATGGGGAAATTTGCCTTGTTGAGTGTCTCAAAGGAAAATATTCCAAATGTACATGTCATTATCTGTTTGGCTTCCCTTGTTTTGGCAGTTAGCTGCAGGTGAGAAAATATGATAAAACACTGCTGTTTACTGTCAGGAGGAAGCAGAGTGGCTAAATGATGGAGCTGGTCAATTCTTCAGCACAGAGTCATACATCTGGTAGACGTACTGAGAAACCTCGGGTGCCCGACACTTGAGAGACAGCTGTGAAAGACAGGGAGATAAAAACAGTGTGATGATGGGAGATTCCCTCATATGTTCTCTTCTAAAGAGGCTGTGGAAAACGAGGATGGGAAACTTCTTTTGATGTTTCATTGCTTTTGAATTAATGATGATAAAAAATAAAGTTGGAGCCTGAAAAGCAATAAATTCTGGTTGTTATTCTGTCTTTTTTTTTACCATGTTGATATTTTATATTTTTTCACAGATCCTGTTTGACAAAGATCAAGACTTTTTTCGTTTATAAATTGAATTAAAAGTAAACTGAATTAACTTTACAATAAAGATATAAACAACTGTATCCAAACAGATGGATTGCATATGCTGAAACATTTATTTTACAGAATAAACAATGCCAAACAGATTTGCATTAGTTTCTATTTTACGTAAAATGTGTTTATTTTATTAATTACAGTTCTTTATATTTTATTGTAATTGTTTTCTTTTTATTTATTGATTTATTTGTAACAAAGTGAATAGTTAAACTCTAAAGTATTAAACCTAATTTAACCTTACATATTTTTGTTACAAGTGTTACAAGCTGCTCCCAAAAATCAAATCCATCAGGCACTACTTATATGTAGTCTTTGATTGATAGTTATTATGTACAAATCCTTGGAAATGAACATCCATGAAGAAAAGCTTAATGGCAAATAATATAATAATATAATATTTACCGTGTAGTTGGGGTTTCCAGGCTGAATGCGGAGCTCAGCCAGGATCCAGATGCCATTGGTCAGCTTGAGGGACTGGTACAGCATGTCCTGGCCTTCTACGTTTCTCTTGGCAATGGTGTAGATGTTGTTGTTCTGCAGTTTCCCTGACACTGTGTCTACAAGACCAGAATCAAGGTTACATCAGGAAATGAAAACACCTCATTTGGTGCAACAATCTATTTACTGAGCAATCACATGAAACACACTAGAGGCTGTAGTCACTACAGGTGCTAGTACTGATATATAAAATAGCTAGTACAAACTAATACAGGCAAAATGTTTTAAGGGAATTAAAGGTCAATTAGCTCTAAGAGGATTTTAATAAATTATGACTGGAAACCTTGTGACTTCAGTAAACCTGACCAGGTGTACTACAACACTGGGCCCTGCTAGGAAGAGCCACTATGGGCGTTAGCCATCCTGCTGACAGGTTATAATGGAACAATTATGGGCAGCTCATAAAACAAAAGATGTTGATGGTGTCCTTCAGGTACAGAGAGGAGGAAATGTGGAAGCATCCCAAGACAGGCATGTGGTTGAGGAAAGAACAAAAAGAGAGAAGTGTGAGGTCTTTGGCTAAACTGTAGTAGGCAAAACACTTTGGAGCTTTTAGTCCAGACGTGGGTTTCCAACATTGCACTTGAGGAACGCGGAGAGATCACACGAGGGCAGTTGAGTACAAACGAACCAATGTTAATCCTTTTGTTCTGTGCAACAAAAACGTACATAATTCATGTTCTATGAGCAAGGAACATTGAATCAATTCTTGTTTTCTCCTGTTGTCATTAATATGTAAATTAATTCATCAAGATCATCCAAAGTCTAATCCGATCACCAAGTCCACGTAGAGGACCTGTGGTGTAAGTATGAATTCTCTGACAGAAAATACAAATTGATGTGAAGCTGAAAGCTAATTTCCCTACCTGCATTTAGGTGACAATCCTTTATCTGATATTGTAGCTCATTCTCATTAGGGATGTCTTTCCAGGTAGCAAGGAACACCTGTCGCTCTGAAGAAGAAAAAAATAAAAATAAAAGGAGTGAAGTTGATGAACAAGAATAAACAATTTCACATCTAGTGTGACAATAACACAAATTAACATTTTCAAATAAATGTTTGGTTGTAGATAATATGAACCGCTGGCGTGAGGGTGTGATAGTGGTGTTGTGACCAGAGACGTGATTCTATTTTAGAAAGTGGGGAAAATAAATACCCATTTTTCCATCCTCCACAAAGAACACGTAGAGAGGGATGAGTACACTGAAGTAGAAGACATCTATGTTGTTCTTCACAGCCACCTGTGTACAAGAAAACAAATAGGGAACATGAGTCTAATAACTGGATCAGTTCTAAAGTAAGATGTAAGCCAGTGACACCTGCTTTAAAAATACAACCAAGAACAAAAATACAAGCTGATTAGCAATTGTTACTGTAAAGTATATGGTAGAAACTAGTGCGTCATAGTAATTAAAGAAAAAAACAATGCTCTGGATTTGGTGGACGGTCGGTTCACTGTCTCCCTCAGCTTCAAAGCTTTTTCTCACCATCTATCTCTATTCAGATTCAACAGGGTCAGTTATCTTTAAAACTCCTCATTACAAAAGTACAAGTGTTGCAGTGTTGTTTAAATTAATATGTTGCAGGTGAGTGATTGCTTCTGTACCTGCAGATTATTGAGTGGGTCCATCTTCATGACTGGTCCGATGGTATTAAGAGGCAAAGAGACCTCAATGCTCTGGCTGGGCATCAGAGGAGTGTGGACGGCAAGAGGAGTGGTGGGGATGACGCCAAAACTACATGTAGAAAAGCGGAAAAAAAGGTTTGACTTTCGAAGCATTAATAAAGCTACAGATTAAACACTCCACTGCTCGTTTCTGAGGTACGCCAACCTGAAACTAAAGTAGCCAACATAAAAGCTCTGATGTTTTAGAGAAGTGTTGATGTTTGAGTAAAAGTGATATTATAGTTCGAGCTTTTTGACTTTGATCCCACTGACCTGTTCTTGTTGAACTGGACAGCGAAGTCGGTCATGTGTTGCAGGGCCTTGTTTGTGAAGGTCATGTCCATGTACATGTGGCCCTGGCGGCGAGAGAAGGTTCCAGAGATCTCCAGTCCCTTGGCTTTCACTGCAGGCAGCCACACCTGGATTAAAAGTACCAATATACCCAATGAGATGTAATGCAGATAAACAACAAAGAGGTTCTGTTTAAGTGGAATTCTTCAGTGAGATACTGCCTCCAATGTTGGCAAAGCATCTGTAATTGTCTGAATGTATATTAGAGTGGAGTTGTGTACACTTACTGCTTTTGCAGCAATGTGGCCACCGGTGGTGTTGGCCATGCCTGTGGAAAGCTCAAACAAGTCGTTGAGGCCGCTGCTGACGGCTGGGGGTGCTGGTGTAGGTGAAGGAGCAAAAGTGCTGGGGACAGACGAGGGGATGAAGTTCTGTCCCACCTATAGAAATCACAAAACGCAAACACACACAAACACACAATCTGAATAACCAAAACAACTTAAGACTGTATGACGGGAAACTTGACAATCTACAAAAAGAATTGCACTGAAAATCCTAAGTCACAAGAAAGAAGGAACCAATTAACTGTTGAGTGATTGTGAGGGAAAATGAAAATTTCCACCATGTCAAGATTATATGATTAGCAAAAAACCTTTATGGCAGAGAAACTGTGAGTAAGATCAATTCAATTGTGTGAGTCAAAGAAGCCAGGTTTTAAAACGTGATGAAGCGTTAAATTCAGGAAGCATGCAGCATGCAGACAGGCCGGCTGCCGAACAGAAGGGCTTGACTTACTGCTGGACTTCCCCCAACACCTCCGCCCAGGTCTCCCCCCAGCTACAGGAGAGAAGAGAGGCCCCCAAAGACAGCATCCAAACATCACACAGATAGACCAAACACACAAACAAAGACAGAGACATCCTTAGCAACCGCAACCCATCAAGAGGAGCCCTCAATTTCTGGGAAAATGTCTAACTCCACGTGGTATTTCAAGATATTAAAATAAAACCTAAATCTGCATCAAGATTATCAAGAAATCCAGTTAGTTCAGCATTTTGGAGAAGTGGAAAATGGCTATTAGCAGAGTTTAAATACAACAGGACTTAACGAATAATAATGAACCAAAATTATTCCTTATTTTAAACAATTCAAAACATTTTAGTGTGCTTTTGTGTTTTGTTATATTAAGTATAAAATACAGCAAAAATAGGAAAATGATTAATTAGATATACAGGCATACTTAAGTGAACATTATATCTCAAAGACATGGGGAGACAATGGGCTGTTATTATCTTCAACAGTAAGAATCAGAGGAGGAAGCAGAGACAAACAAAGGGAACCTTAGGGCATATTCCTCTTTATTCCAGAATGAGGAACAACTTTTACCAAAATGCTGATTTAGACATTTTCAAAAACCAAATTACAAAATAATGTCTCTTCCTTTATTATTTATTTATTAGGCAGCCTGCAAGTGAAAAAACACAAGAAAAGTGTGTTCCCAAACCATAACGCAATCTTGTCAGCTTGTGAAGTCTCACTATAATCAGCTATAATAAATTATGCCCAGGAGTAAGAGTTTAAAATTTCCAAAAAATAGAAGACAAAGTATTGGTCGATCCATTAGATTTTATAAACAAGACTGTTGTTACTCTATAAGTGTGTTTTAAAATGAAATACCATTCAAATAGTAAACTGTTAAATATGTCTGTCTCTCTTCTAACAACCCCCACTTGTTTGTGGCATTCGATTCCAAAGCACAGGGGTTATATCCGTCCAGCATGATGTCACAGTGACCTTTGACCTATTCGATATTGAATGTCATCACTCAATCCAATTAGTTTTCTGAAATATTTCCATTTATTAGCACATCAATTAACGAGATGGCCAGAAATGTGTGTGTGTTTGTGTGTGTGTTGGAGATCAAGCTCACCAAGCTGTCCAGGCCTCCTCCCAGAAGGTCCACTGCACCCATTTGCATGGAGGACACTTGGGGCACATTGACTGGAGGGCCCAGGTCCAGGTTGAGCAGGTCACCCAGCAGGTCACCCTGGCTGGGGATCACATGTGGCTGGTCCATGGCGGCTGCCGGGCCACCACTCACTGGGCTCTCACCTGTGTCAATGCTGTCATAAGAAAGAACAGTACACTGGTAAAGGACGGTCATTCATTCATTCATTCAATTAAAGTGTGTCCAAGTGCCAGACCTGCTGTGCTGGACAGGAAGGTGTTTCCGGTGGATTCCGTGGCTGCCCTCCACAAAGGCGCTGGGTGGTTTGTGATAGACAGATGCCAGAGAGCCGATGTGGCAGATGAGCTCATCCAGCAGGGTGGGCTCAATCAGGTCTGTCTCCTCAGAGATCAGGGGCTTTTCTGACAATACTACCTCCTTAGCGGTCACGGGATCAGTGGACAGAAGGCGCCAATAAATGTAGCCCCTGTCGCGCAGGTCAGGGTTGTCAGAGTCCTGTAGAAGAGAAACCCACATACTTACATGGCTGTGTAAGATCAGATAATAACAGGTAACATTATCCAGAAGTGAATAAATAAATAAACCTTCTTTAGAATAAAAGATGTAACCTACCTGAGTAGCCAGACTGAGGACCTGCTGCACCAACTCCTGGGTCTCTGACGGCTTCTTAAGGAACAGCTTCACAATGGCAGTCAGCAGAGTGAGCTGGACCTGGCAATTGAATCACCCAGTGTTAGTATTTTGGTCATTTTCAGTGTACAGTGCTTCTCAAACCACAACTCCTGGTCCTTGCTAAATACAATGGCTACAGGAAACACTATTCATGTTCCAATGGGCTCCAGATGAAGACATATTGATTAAATCATTTGTACCTTTAGTTTGACTTCCTGTTGTTTACCATTAAACGTTTAACTTTCTAAAAAACAACTTTCATGTTTAACTTTGACATACCATAATTCCTGTACACCTCGGTTTACTCCCTGTATAATCCTCTCATGTGCTTTTAGGAAGAACCCACCTGAGTGCTCTCATCATGGAAACCCTCGAGGAAGCTCTCTAGCAACTCGTCAGCGTTGTCGATCCTCTCTGCATACTCGCCAACGATCCAGATCATGGCAGCACGAGCGTCAGGCTCGTCCAGAGAATCCAGGTTCTCACAAAGTGTAGCAATGATGCTTTCATACCTGAAGAGCACCAAAATCTCAGCTGTCAGATGGAAACTTTACAACACCTTAGTGCTTGAATGCATATTAAAAGCTAGTTGGAACATAAAGATGAGAATAACTAATAATGATTAGACAAAATTGAAATACTGACTAGTTATAAGGTGAATAATGACAGGACATGTGCCAGTACTAGTTAGTTAATTGTTTTGTTTTAGATGGATTTGTCAGGGTTTCAGTGGGAAACTCACTTGTTGGGGTACTTGCGAAAGATGTCTCTGATGACCACAATCGCCTCCTGAACCACGTAGTTGACTTTGGTCTGGATCAGGTCGAGCAGGGTGCTGACACAGCGCTCCGCTGATTGCTGGAGACAAAACAAAACTGAGGCACTGTGTACATCATGATTTTTCTATAACCCCAATGCTCTGGTGACAAGACTGAAGTGAAATATGTTTCTTGTGCTCAAATGCACTTGAGATATCTTCAGTGTACAGATCAGTGATGGGGGCATTTCTTACCTCTACTTTGATGGCACAGCGTCCGATGGCTCTTACAGCCTTGCGCACAAAGTCAACATCCACTTCTGTGGCGTATTCCTTCAGTTCAGCCAGAACCTGAAAGTGACAGGTAACAGCTGTAACACTCAATTCTACTTTTTTTATTCCGGTTTGATACCTTAAAATTCGACATTTTCTATAAACCATTTTTGGCAAAGAGAAAAAAATAACCTGGGTACAAAGTTACTATTTAGTTGTGTTTCATGTATGGTACCTGGGCGATGTTGGCCTGAGAGGCCAAGCGGATCATGATGTCCAGTTTCTCCAGTTTCACATAGATAGGGTCGTTGTATTTGACAAAGAACACCTTTATCTCCTGCTTCAGGATCTCAGGCCTGCACACATTAACACTTTACATGTTAGACTGTGGAAAGACCTGATCCAAAACAAACAAGCCACTGAACAAATTGGGCGTGATTGTGCTCAAGAAGACTTTACTCTGGCTTCTATCTACAATACATTTTCTTTATCAATACAACATTTAAATTAGTTTGAGTCATATTCTATCAAAACCAGCTCTGACTGATGTATTATGGATTATTTACAGCCCTCATACTGCTAGACTTGCACATTTCTACCCGTGTGTGTGATTAGTGTTTACTAAACAAATTCATACTAAAAGAATATCATGGTGGAGGATAGTGAGCCCAAAACGACACTGTCAGATTCTCTAGATTGTAACACTGATATTTTCTTGACTGTACTTTACTTATTTGTGAACAAAGTATTTGAAATATGATTAATTTATTTTTGATGGCAATAGTTTCTGGTGTTTGTAATTACATACCTTTTCTGGACAATGAGGTTGATGTTCCTCAGAGCCACATACTGGACCTCCGGCTCTCCGGAGAGCAAGGTGACCAGTGGTGGGGACAGCTTCTTCAGCAAGGTGTTGTAGTAGTCGGAGTCCTTGGGCAGCAGCTCTAAGAATTTCATCAGCACCTTGACAGCTGACAGCACCACGGCTGAGTTTGCGTGAGACAGCCGGGGAGTTACACGCTCACAGATGCTGTAAGACAGGAAACGGGATGGTGATAGTCATTAAAGAAAAATGTACAACTTGCATTAAAAAGCATCTTGTATATTTGATTCATTGCTACCTTTGGGCCTCACGCTCATCCTTGGGGTTATAGTTGGACAGGCAGTCCAGGATGAAGATCTGTCCCCACTCTGTGCATTCATTGAGGGCCGTCAAGAGCTTGTTGATGTTCTGAGGATTGAGATCCAGCAGGTTGCTGTTGGGGTGAGACTCACTGATCTCTGACAGGGCAGCAACTGCGTTGGCCACAACCTAAAAGACACAGAGGTCTCACTGAACACTGCTCACCACAAAAATCCAAATGAAACTTGGGAAAACACAAACAAGTCAAAACATGTTTTGAAACAAAATGATTCAGCTCGCAGGTGACAATAAAAGGGTGATAAACTGTTAATTATCATTATGCATTGACTTTGCAGTAATAAAACGAGGAGCATGTTGTAAAGTTGAGGAATATAAACTTTTGAAGGATATACAGTTGTTATACATTGTCACAGGTGGAAGGAATAAAACAGAAACTCACAAACTGACAAAATTAGACTGAGGCTGAAAAAGAATTGCCTGTCACCAGCCTGGAACTTACCATGGGATTTGAGTCAGCAATGAGATCTCTCAGAGAGTCGAGGAAGCCCTGGTCCTCCACCATCTGGGCATTGATGTCATGAAGTTTTGCCACACACACAGCTGCCGTCTTCCTCACATAAGGGTCCTCGTCCTTCAAGCATTTCCTCAGAGGCTCACACAGGTACTCAGTGATTTTATCCACCCGGATGCAGCCCATGGTGCGGACGGCCAGAGCTCGGATGAGAGGGTTGGGGTCCTCGCAGTCCTGGAGAACAGGCAAAGCAAGGCATTTTTGTTTTTAAACTGAACAATTTCACTGGGGAAAATTCCTATTGTGAACCAAAAGTGAAATTCCATGTTAGTGACATCTCAAAACTGCATGATAATCTTAACTTCCTGTGGGACTCACAGTTATGCAAACATTACAAACTTAAGCAATGTTTAGACTTGCCTTGACAAAGCTGTTGACAGCCATGATGGCCATGTCAGGTTGACTCTTGGCATAGTTCATTAAGTAGAGGTAAACCAACTTCTTGAGCTCCAGGTTGTCAGTCTGCATGCAGTTCACCACATCTGGAAACAAGGAACTGAAGAAAGCCAAAGAACTTGGTCAAGATTTACAGTTTGAGGTTTATATCAGGAGCAATGTGATAAAGAAGTCATTCTATAGGTCTATTTACACTCTAAGAAGTCTTGTTTCACAATATGTAAGTGGTAATAATCTCAACCTACAATTGAATGTCACAGTTAATGTCAGAGTTTAATTTCATACTTTACCTGACATCCTTGCCAACAGTCATGGCTGCAATGACCTTCTTCACTGCCTCTTTTCTCTTCTCCTTCTTCTCATTGTTCAGCTCTGCCTTCAGTTCAAAGATCTCCCCTGAAAAAGGAAAGATAACACGTCCAACCTTTAAGCCACTTAAAGTGAAAATTATAGGTAACTAAATGCTTAAGGATTAGATGCATCCATGATAAATGACAACTAAGTCTAACGATCTGCCTTCCATACTCACCTTTTTTGTTCGTTGTGAAATATTTGGAGTCCGTCATGGTTGTGGTCCTTTAAGTCTGTACTGAAGATATAATCAGATTTATCTCATCAGCAAAATGTGTATGAATGTTTCCCGTAACCCATCCCAATATGCATTTTGTCATTCACAATTGTATCATTAGAAATGAAGACATAAAATTTCAAAATGGATTTCAGTACTAAATTGAGAGAGGACAGTAATACTTGTATTTTAGATTACATTGGGGATCTGTCCTTTCTAATTAGTCTATAGATCTCTAGATTACTGGCTTCTTCTATGAAAACATAAAAAATACACAAACAACCAATATTTCTGCTGGGTATTCTAGCTTTTCTAGAAACTCCATCATAACTGCGAGGGAAATACAGTATCTGAGTAAGTGGACAAACATTTTGTGGTGGGTTCGGGTTCCTTTTCTTCTAATTTAAACATACAGCCAAATCATCTGCAGAGGAATAGATGGCATTCAGCGGTTTTCGATGTGCCACTGTCAAAGGATGCCATCTTTCCCATATGCATGCATATGTGTCATTGCTGCACATCACAAAGATCAGCATTGGGATGAAGCTATTCCTGAACTCCAGGGGCCTGCTGTCATCACATCCGTCATTTCTGATAGAAATAGCAGGTTCATATCCTGACAGGAGGGTCAATGCTGCCCTGGCTAATTTAATTAATGCTAACTAGATACACAATCAGAGCCACAGTAGTAGACACCAATCCCTGCTGGGATCACAGACAGCAGCTCAAGCTATAGTCGGTTCCCTCCAAGAGTGTGTGTGTGTGTGTGTGTGTGTGTGTGTGTGTGTGTGTGTGTGTGTGTGTGTGTGTTTCCAACTTAGAGAACACCTCAGATCCAGATCTTATCACCCAACTTCATGTAGTTTATGTCAATATCAGAAAGTTAATATTCTGCACATCGTCCACACACGTTAACAATGAATACTCCAACACTGTGAAGTAAAATAATAAACAATCATGTTTAATATGAAAGACAAACTCGCTCTCTTACAGTAAGACTATGTTTGCTTCAATATTGAAGATAATGTTTTAGGGTTTAACTTAATTATATTCGTTAGCTAGCTTTCTTTACGTAGCTACCGCACCGGTGACGTCTTAAACATGAACTCTTTAACCTTGTGTTAGGTAGATTTCTTCAATCCCCTCGTTCAACCATCGACAGACTTGAATTAGAAGTTGAACCTGCTCTTCAACATCACACCAACCACCACTGTCCACAGCAGTTTGACTCTGCTCACGTTAGCTAGCCTGTTTCATGCTAAGGGAATCAGTTTAAACGATCACTGCTAACGCTGCCCCCACCAAGACTAGCAATGCTAACAAGCTAACAGCGACAAACCACAGACTCTACCGACGGTGAGTTGGCCACAACCAGCAAGCGTCAGTGTTTTCTCTGTTAGTCGGATGCGACTTGTAGCGTTACGACATGAAATCTGACATCAGAACAGAGAAGTGACCAGCGGCCCAGTCTCCATTGCCTCTGACAGGAGCTATGTTAATGAAGGTGCCGAGCCGCCCAGCAAACTGGCCCACATGAAAAACTACACGCGAATGAGGATGAATACACAATACAGAGTGTAGTAAAGTATCTCATGTACCTGGTGGAGTGTATTTGAGCCGGGAATGTGAAGTTGCAGCGGCTGGAAGACGCAGGTTGGTCCCTTTGCCCAGTTGGAGGAAGATGGAGAATCTGGATTGTGGCGCTGCGTTCAAAGACACAAGATATAACACGACTTCTCTCTTGAGCCCCGGCAGTGGTGGTTGTGCACGTCGGTAAATGTTGGGATCACGTAAACATTCGACTAACGCGATGCTTCATAAACGGCTATTGTTGGATTCCATATTATTTTGACCCATGAGTAGTGAAATTGCACTATATGTTTATGCACGCAGAGGACTGGTGAGACAACAAGGCCAGGAATCCCAGACAGAAGGTAGTTGATGTATACAAATTGATTTAGTCCACTGTTATTTAGGTGCACGTGTAATATCAATCAGTTCAAGCATTGTATCTACATTTATATTTACATGTGTAGCCAATTGCAATGGATTTCGGGCGTGACCTGTAACAGTTGTATACTTTCCCATGCGTTTGAATGTAGCACGAGAGGGACGCTTTGACTGACAGTGGAAACCAGAGGAACAAAAAAATCAGGAATATTCAACTCACAATATCAAAAGTAACTGATTTCATAATATCCTGCAACTACAGTATTATATTATAACTAATGCATTAACAAGTAATCAAACATCTATTTGTTGAAGGTCAAATATTGAATATTGAATTTATGTATTCTCAGGCAGTTTTATGCATTTCATTATATAAATTGATTGCACAGTAAGTGTTGTATGTAAAGTCAAAATCTACACAGCAAACCTGCAGCTTTTCCTTGGTTTCTGCAGGTTTAACTGAAGTGGATGTGTCAGTATGTCATTGCTTTTAGTGGCATACATGTGTGACAAACAATTACAGCCACAACATACAATGCATACATTGAAACATTTAATCCCATGGTGCATTTTGTGTCGTGTCTTATGCATCGCAAAAACATGTCTTGGTCCTTTGCAGTTCACACTTTGTATTGTATGTGCTGTGGGAGACATCAAGTCTCAGTGCCTCTCGGTCAAGCTTTTCCGTTTGAATTATAGCTTTTCTGCTGAATAGTATTTTAAACCAAGAACTTCCTGGTAGCTCTGGCAGTATTTTGACTCCAAACATATAGTGTAATGTAAAGTAATGTGTGTATAACCCCCTCTCAAGTAACTGCAACATGTTCCAGTCTACACAAAATCTCTGACCCACAATCAGCCTTATTCACTCACAATGTCATTCTTACCACACACCCGTTGAGGTAAGGTAGTGTACAAAACATATACGACACTTACCTACATTATACAAAAGATATAGTCTTAGTATAAGTATGTATGAAATATGAATGACAGTGGAAAAAACAGTAGTTACAGTTCATATAAAAAGTTTGTATTAAATCAAATGTGATGCTTGTTCCATGTTCAAAATAAACTATGKAAAAAATACAGATCAAATCTAAAAAATATATTTATTGTCAGTTACATCAATTTCACAGTGTCTGTACAAAGAATAGCATGTGTGATGATTTAATGGCTTTTCTCCTTCACCACAAAATCACCATGTAAATCTATATTATACCCCAATTATTACCCCCTCCCTCCATGTTAGCAGTCTTTACAAAGAATAAATAACTGTTACAATTGTTTTTTCTCTGGCTTGTTACAGTACATCAGTATTTTGTGTTATCGGCAAAAAACTGAAGCTGTGCAACATTTGCATTGCTGATAAATGCTTGCTGCTTATTCCACCACAATACTAAACCTCTGATCGGTATGTTTACACCATTTGGGCACTTTTTGTTATTTATTTGACAGAGTGACAGTGCTACAGTATTTTTCACACCTATGTAGAAGAATCGATTTGGAGCTGGGAAGTGGCGTTGATAAGGTCTCTGGGAAGGCTTTCTCTGGCCTCTTGCATCTTTCTTCTGGCTCTGTGGAAGGCCTCTGACAGAGGCAAATATATACTTAAGAAACAATATATATTTACAACAAGTTGATCTAACAATTCAAACTGATATTTAAAATGTAAAATCTCTAGAACCTGAGCTATATGAAGTATTGAGTAATGATCATGAGTGAATGTCTTTACCCAGGATGGTGCAGACAGCTCCTTGCTGACTAAATCCTCCCAACTGGTCATAAACCTTCTGTCTCCTCTTCTTCAACATGGCCGCATCAACAAATGACCTGAAAAAACACAATATGGATATAATAAACCACACATTCAGCTACAGTACAGAAACTGAAATCATTTAAATGTATGATAAATTATGATAATAAATAGAGCATTTAACTTAAATACTGCACACAAACAAATACTGAGGTTTGTAATGATGTGGCTTCTGAAATTGATATCTTGCACCCGGGGAAAAATTATATAAGTGTATATTGTTTTGGTCATTTCAGATAACCTTAATCAGATGAATCTCTTCTCTAGAAATTCTGTGTAGCTGGAGACTTTGTGATTTTGTAGATTCACTGTTGTGGTGGAATATAGGTGTAAAAATCAGTCACAATAACCCAGGTTCCTTTACCGGGCTTGCTGGATGCAGTGCAGATTAAAGGTGACACTTCCGGTGGTTTCTGTGGAAAAGCCAATGCGACTCAGCCTCTCTCCCTACAGATGCACATGGAGGTATTAAAATCAAAAAGATATGGAGAATGGACAGATTAAGTTCCAAAATATTCACAAAATAATGGAAGTTGCACTCCATCAGGATGCACGTGTAGATCAAAAAAGGGAATATAACCAGAAATGTGTTATTTACAGGAAATTTCCATAAGGAGTTACCTCAAACAATAGAAAATGTTGAATTACATGTATGCTTCCACAGAGAGCTTCCACAGAGGTTAGAACTTACCTTGAAAGTCCCTGGTATTCGGACATAGCTGTGGTCTTCAAGCTCTGGAGAACCTCCAATAAAGAAGCGCCTCAGAGCAGACACTGTCCCCGTCTGAAGGGGTCTCCATGTATGGCATGTTACTTTGTGATTACCTGGCACATAGGAAATTACACACACACAAACATGTTTGAAATAATATAAAAATCAAAATTTTGATAGAGAGAAAATTATTCTTTTAAATGACAATTTCAGCCAAAATTGTTCCCTGCAGCCCTACATTTAAATCCACAGCTTTTTAATAAACATAACATACCAGGTATGGCTGGAAATAGCACATATCCATAGCCTTCAGTTCGATAGCGCTGCCAGGAGTCCAGAGAAAGAACCTTGAAGTAGAGCACTGGCCACTGTGGAACTGGTTCTAAAAAAGAAAAAGAAAGATTCAGCCTTTTAAATTAGGTTAAAGTAAAATCCATTCAAATCAGTTAGTATCAACAAAACAACTCATAATTTATACTAACCTTCACTTTCTTTTTCACTCATGTAGAAAGCCTCAAAGCTGAAGGGGTGACTGAAGAAAGCTACATTTTCCTGTGGGCAGACAGAATGTTTGACAAATCTCAGTAATTCACTGTGAGGTTGTTCCCCAGTTTATTTTACAGTATACTCACCTTCCCTTGTGTTTTAGTTCGGCAGGTCTGAGTGACCCCGGAGAGAGAGTGGAAAGGCAAGCTGGACCAGTCTTAAACAAACAAGAGTGGTACAATTTGAACACAATTCAATTCAATTTAATCAAACTACTAAAAAATTTAAAAAGGTGTCCACAACAGCTACAGTAAGTTCCACCATGCACACAGTGCTATATACATACAATGTTACTCACTGTTGGGCAGCTCCATGAAGAAGTGGATGTATAAGTTATCATATTCAAAACCTTGAGCTGAGACTGGGTAGAAATAAGTAGGAGACTTGATTGACAAAGAAAATTCATTGTTTTAAATGTGAGCTATGACCACATTCTTCCTACTCACCTATTTCTCCATTCATAAAGTAACGCAGAATACCTACAGGAGGCTGGAGGAGAGACCAAATATGGACCAGCATTATAAGTGTTAAACAGCTAATTCAACATTTTGATTTGTGTTAATACTTGATACATGATTTTTAATTGCAGCTTCTCAAAGGTGAGGATTTGCAGTGATATATAATGGGCATTTCCATTACTTACCATTTCAAAGTCCTGTCCAACAAGGCTAGTGAGGTAATCCTTGTGCCTTACATACAGCTAGAAACAGAGAAAAGTGGATGTATCCATGTCACAATAATGTTATTTGACCCCACAATCAATAATTCTACTCTGGTCCTGAAGAAAGGGAGATTTAAATGAACTCACATCTTTGTACATGTTCTGCTCCCGGTCCTTTTCCTCTGGTTTCATGGCTGTGGACACATTCTCCACAGTGAGTCGCCAAACTTCTCTTCTTTCCCCCTCTGTTACGATCCTGCTCAAAGCACACACACCATATTGTTTTTAACCAGAGTAACCATATATTCCTTTATCTTAGTGAAAAAGAGTTTTATTTTCTTTGTTTTAAAACATGTTACTATGACAGTATATCAGTTCATGCTGGACCTCCTATGACATTTTGAACTTGCCTGTATGGCTCTCTGCCTTTGTTGAAGTCAGGTTTTACGATGACTGTTCCACTGCCATCTGTTTTTATTGTACAGAGCAAATATTCATTCTCTTTGCGACCCAGTCTGAAAAAGCAAACACAGAGAAAAATCAGAACAGACCCACATATGAAAAACATCTAGATTTTCACTTAAGCTATCAGAGAACCCTGCTAACAGTACATTTTCAACATCTCATAATGTATATTGCTTTTGGTTCCCAAATTGTATCGATCTGAATATTTCGTCCACATCTGGAGGTGGTCTTGTTTTTGCACTGTGGTCAGATTTCTGCCTGGTGTTAATTACATCAGTACTGTGCGACAGCATCCAGATTCCCCAAAGTGTCTGCTATCTCATAGTGCTATGGAACTAGTTAATAGAAAATATGTGATGCAAAATGTTATTTTTTTTACAAAAGACGGACATTTTATCATCTACAATACACATCCACATACAGCACATGTTAATACCAGGTGGAAACTGACACTAATGAATAGGTTACTCAGTTTTTGTCATACTGCAAGGCAAACTTTTAGGATCTTACCTTCCAGGGGGGCCCAGGTCTCCCATGACGTGCATGGTCTGCATAGCATTATTCACCACATGACTGTTCTTCACAAACTCCTCTGTGGGCTCCCAGTTGATGATTTTTGACTTGGGGATACTAGAGTCCCTGCAAAATACACCAGACCGTCCTATCACATGACTGATTGAGAATAAAAGTTTCATAATGAATTTTGATCCTAATGTCATTGCATTTACACAGTGTAAGGCACTATAGTGTTATCAGTCCATTTAACGTACATGGTGCGTCTGTCCTGCCATCTGTGTCTTATGCTGGCCATCCTTTCTGCCAGGAAAGTGGGGCTGGATTTGGTTGTGGTCAGTACGTCACTGGATTGCTGCTTTCAGGATCAAAAACAAAAAGCAATTCAAAAACACAGTTGCAGACAACAATTGTAGAATTTGAGCTTTTAACATTCAAATGCAATACAACAGGAGACAGGCTGTTACCTCTTAAAGTTACGACACTTATGCTGGGGGGTGTGGAAGTCTGGTTCACATATAGTACCAAAGTCTCAAAGAAGATAAACTTATGTGCCATAAACCTGATCATAGTGATCACAAATGACATAACACCCAACAGAATAAATGTAATTACTCTGTTTGGCTGTGCCTTTAGGGAATGTCTCTTATCTTGGGAGTAGCAATTAGGTGGAAAATGTGGTTTTGGATTTAGATACCACGAAAAGATGAGGTTGACAAGAAAAGAATTGTGTTACTTTGTTATAATGCATCGTACTTGGACTTAATTTACTAGAATATAGGATGCAGCATACCAGCTGGTGGAATGGAAGACAGTTGGTGTAGCGGTCATGGTCCGTGTATGTGAAGAGCCTGTGATTTCGTCTGCCCTTAGCCCTCTTCACGGCCTTGACTTCTGTGTGGTACTGCCGGTCCAGAGGAGTCTGACATGCTGCCTCGTTCTGGAACAGTTCCATCTCATACTGGAGCCACAGAGAGACACAATAGAACATTGGCAAGGAAATGGAAAAGGTGGTGAATAAAGTATTTGAAAGGAAAAGTTAATTATAATTGATCAAAATCATTTTAAGATATCTAATCTTAACTCCATAATTTGAATATGCTGGGGGATGAAGATACTAAGTGTTCTACCTCACTGAAGAGTTTCTCCTGCCAGCCCACCTCCAGTTCCTCCTCATTATCACCTGATGACACAGGAAAAGGGTCAAAGATAATCTTTACTGAAGTTCAACTGATGAAGGCAAATTGGTGTGAGTGGTGCAACACACGAGTACAGTACATAACAAAGTAATCTGTGGATTATGTTCAGAGAAAACTAAAGTGGAAGATTGTCCAGCAGTATTTTTGATAATGATACCTGTCTGGCTCTGTGAGGTGAGGGTTTCCAGTTCAATGGCTCCTCTGTCTTGCTGGGACAGAACTTCCTGCTGGAGGTGCTGGGAGAGGGCTGCTGTGGAGGTCACCCTCTCTATACGCACCCTGAGGCAGGGAATTAAACAGCGCGTTGAAATAACGTATCCTGAGCAAAGAGTTGTATGGCTAGGCTAATGCTAACGTCACCTTCAGTCACTTACTTTACTCTCAAGTTTTTGACAGCATCCCGGGATCGATACACAGCTTCTCCGGTATCCGTGTTCCAAAAGTCCGCCATTAACATTTACCACGTAAACATACAAACGCTGTTGGCTTTAGGTGAGCTAGCCTTAGCACACGGCTAGTTTCATACGTTTTGTGTTTGGTGCATTCACAACGACTTGAAAATTGTTAGCTACCCACTCACGGCGTTTAGAAACGTAACCGGAAAGAATGTCGGCGAAAAGTTAATAATAATGTTGTAGGTTAAAGCTACAATGAGAAGCTAACAAGCTAAGAGCAAAGCTAAAAGGACAGCAAGCGGATAGTTGTCGTTGCCATAGAGATTGGTAGTTCTTCTTCCTTAGTTTTCTTAAGAGCATTACTGGCTCCTACTGGGCTGGAGGGTGCAGTGTTTTTATAAAGTCACTAACCAAATAATACACACACAGTAATGTTACAAATGTAATTTCATTATTTACACGATCTTAAAGACGTAAACAAATGGAAAAACACACAAAGTGCATGGATACTCGTATTTTAAGTTTGCAACACTAAATATTTTATGTGGGTGTTATCTTGTTCAAAAATGCCAGAAAAAACAGGAGATGTTTTTTAGGAAAACAAATGTGTGTACAAAATACTTTGCTGAGATGATTCAGTTATTGACTACCCTCCCTTGTTGCCATGTACTTTCCTATTTATTCACTTTGGATTCTCTTTGGATCACGACGGACCTGTGCCGAAAGCCCTTTGTTATACATTCTCCTAACGTTAGAGGGGGGTAATGATGGAGTCTGGTAGCAACTTGTCCTCTGTTTAAATCAAACGAAGAAGAGGGCCGTGGGAGGCGGGTCCAGTGGATATCTCGGGACCAATCAGAGCAGCTGGCGGGTGTTGGGTTGTTGTGGCACGGAGGGTCTACAGTCTATGGCTGTCACACTTGTTTTAAACGTGTCAAACATTATAACGTTACTTCACCATGGCGTCGTTTGTGACCGAAGTACTCGCCAGCTCCGGCAAACTGGAGAAAGAGGACCTGTCCGGCAAAATAAGCAAAATGTCGCGCAAGGTGGAGGATACGAAGGTAACCCGCTAGCTGACGTAGCATTAGCTTCGCTGGACAAAGTTTGAATTAGCTTTAGCTGTTAGCGCTAACACCGACAGATGTGAAACTTCACTCATCCTCTGACTAACTTGCGGCAAGATGTTCACTGGAATAACACTTAGCCGCGAATAAACAGTGGGGACATCGTTTACTTATGAAAGTGCACCATTGAGCTAACTTAATACGAGTTTAGTATATTTTCTTTAGCAGTACTGTTAGCTAGCCACAGTGTATGTGATGCCATCCAACGAGCTACGTGGCTCACTAGCAAACTCAACACATTTGAAACCTCAGGACAATGACTCGGATGTGCGTCCTGTAGTATAAACATCAGTCTTTCTACTTAGACGCATGATCGTCAAGGTCAGCTTGACTAAACTTGTTCATCCTTCCAGTCATTAGACAGAGGACACTTCACTCCAAAAACACCTACAACTAATTTAGTACACTAGCCGAACAAACAAGTAAGGAAGCTCTAGATCAGTTAGAGTATTTATCTGACTACTATTTAACTTTGTAAAATTCATTTTGTTATGAGAAAAACGTGTGTAATTTTATTAAGTGTCCAACTCAGTTTTAGATTTAGACTGATCCACTCAATACATTTATTTTAATAATCGATCAAGGAAAAAGGCAACTGTTCTCCAGTCCCTTTAGATGTGAAGAGCTTTTGGATTGAATGCACTTTGTGAGTTGCCATGATGCAGCAGTTGTGTTCTCTGTGTAAGCCCGGTTGTTTACTGAATCAAACATAATTTGCTTCTGTCCGGGTCATTGGATGGATGAAAAGATAGGTTCGCCAAAAATGACTGGTTATTGTGGATACCCACTGGGAATTTCGTTATATAACTTGTCATTTGTATAGTGGTTGTGTGTACAAGCTTTTGTAATTAACAGGAACCATTATATATATATATTACTAAGTAGATGAATATAATTAAATACATTTGCAAACAAGCTTTCTATTAATTCCTTTTGCTTCATTTTTTTCTCAGGAAGAAGTATGTGACATGATAAATAAGAGATATGGTGACTTCCTACCCAGTCTCCAAGGATCTGAGGAGCTAATGGTGCAGGTGGAGGAGGTCGCCAAAGAAATGGATGTCCTTAAAAATTGCATTGAGAATGAGGTATGCTTGAAACTGTTTATAAATGTGATGAAAGAGCAGAACAGACTGGGATACATTGTTTAGCACTGCCATTAAACTGTGTGTGTGTGTGTAACACAGGTACAACAAAACATCCATGTGGCTGTGGCGGAGTATGCAAAACTGAAGCAGCAGTTGGAGAAAAATACCATCATCATAAAAATGCTAGGATACATAAAAGAGGTAAATCAACCATGTATTTTATTAAGTTAAATGTTTTACGTAGTTGTATTTAAATAGTGTCAAAATGCTCAGAGTGTGAACATATAATTTACAGATTGATTGAGTTTACACATTTCAGTTTTAAAATCACAAGGACAAAAAAATATATTTTTATAATTTTATATTTCTTACTGGAACTAGCTATTATTAAGAGTTGCTTTCTGCATTGTCCTGAAAAATAGATACAAATGTGTGGATTGGGGTTAGCCGTACATTAAATAAAAATCTAGCAGAGAAAACGATGAATTTTGATGATCTGTAATTTCTGTTGGTGTCATTCCGTCTGTTTGGCTCAGTTTCACAATGCAATGGAGGAGTTTAGCAAAGCTTTACAAGAGAAGAAGTATGTTGATGCAGCCAACCAGCTGGAAAGGGTAAGAGCTATTAACATCATGTCCATACAAACTTACCATTACTCTGAAGTAGACCTGAGCAATTGTTTAAAAACTAATGAAAACATGGCTAATATAAAATATTCTCTATTTAAAGTTCATTTCTTTAGACAGACTTTTAACTGCCCTATAATATACTTGAATAAATGTAACAAGAAAAAAATGGCATAGCGATGTGTTTAAGTTTAGGCTTGATTTGGCTTCAGTGAAGAGAGAACACAGAACAAGCTTAAAGGTTCAGTGTGTATTTAGGTGAAAGGGATCCTCGTGATGTTTTCACTTCTGTGTTTTATCTGCATTGTATGAGTTGTTGTTTTCTTTCTTACCCTTTATATTTAAATACTTAATATTTACTTTAGGAGGGGTTCCTCTCTATGGAGGCAACCATGTTTTTTTTACAGTAGTCCAGACTGGACAAACTAAACACCTTTTAGTTTTTAAGGCAACTGAAGGCTGCCACAGGTTCTCTTTCATGTTTGGTAGGGGAGGCTGAGGTGAGGGGTATTAATTTGCAACTTGACCACTAGATGTCACTAAACTCTACACACTGAACCTTTAATGTAAATACTGGTCAAGGAAAAGTGAGAAGGTTGCTGCTACATGTAAGCATATTTATAGTATTTACAATAAACTATTTTCTTAAGTGCATCCCAACATTGATTCATGGGTAATATTTCTTTCTAGGCAAGAGCCAGTGTGGATTCATTGAAGGGTTGGAAGACTTCCCAGCTGCCTCTGCTCAGTACTCTCAGCTCAGAGCTGACAGTGCAGAGAGAAAACTTAATTTACCACATGGGAGATGAATGGAAACGCCTCGTCATCTGGAGATTGCCATCCTCAAAGGGTGAGACGTCCTCTGGTAGAACATTCTTACTATGTTAGTCAGATGTAGATCATATACCAGTGACTCACCTTTCACCCAAAAACACTTCCAGAATTCCAGTCATAATTTCAATTTCGTACATTTTGGACAAAATAGATGCATTTATAAGCTGGTCTTAGACTTGTTAGCATTTCATGTTCTTTGTATTTCAAAAACAAAATTATAAATCTACCTGAACGCGTTGCATTAACATTGGCTTTGGATTCTTACCATTAGAGCCTGCAGGTCTGAAGTCCTTCCTGAAGGTTGAGCTGAAGCTGAGCCATCCCTGCAGTAAAGAGGTTGAACCCAAACCCCCTGCTTTGTTGTGCTCTGTCCTGCAGGCTCTGGCCATCCAAGGAGACCTTCAGCACAAGATCAAACTCTTCAGTAAGAACAACAGAAACGGATCTCTGAATATGCAGTCCTTTATACAGACATCATGGGTAAAGCACATTTCTGTCCTTTCTGTCGTTCAGGTCAAGTACTGTTGAAGAACATGTTGAAGCCGTTGGTGGTGTACCCGTCACTGTCAGTGAAGGTAACAGAGCAGCAGGGTGAGGGAACTTTCCTGGCTTTAGAGTGTTTGGAGGAGAGCCGAGATGAGCGATCCACACCGTCACAGGTCTACAGGAAACTGCTCCTGGTGCTCAAGACACTGCACTCACACCTGCTAGGTAAAGTATGGCTGGGCCCATGTAGAAATATAACATCATGCTTTAAGATTGCTCAGTGTTGCTGTGTTTAACATCTTTATCACAACTTCATGATTCATAAGGCACATTTGCAACGAAAAAGTGACAAAATAAACAGCGATGATCTTACGTGTTAGCCATGCTTATCTCAAACTTTCTGTTCTTGATATGTTGTATGATGAGCTTGAGAAAGGCAAGTCACGTGTGTTGTTTTTCAGACGTGTCCATTGGTGCTAAAAAGCTCTCAACTATCTTGGGGGAGCTGATTTGGGAGGAACTTTCCCAGTGCATCATCAACGAGTGTCTGCTCTATTCCATCCCCACCAACAGCAGCCAGCTAGAGAAATATAAAAGTGTATGGACCTAACATATATAATTATATATATGATATATTTATAATATAATTATAAAGTTACACCTACAGAAAATATACAAATGGTATTGTTAACTACATACTGAAAAGAAACATGTCTTTGTCTTGCTATTGTAAGAGGTTATTGTGGTCTGTAACGTTTTTTATATATATTTTTTTTTACATACTCAAGGTGATCAAGGAAACAGAGGAGTTTGAAAAGTCCCTGAAAGAGATGGAATATCTGCAGGGCGACTCCACAGACTTGCTCAAATATGCCAGAGACGTCAACTGTCACTTTGCCAGCAAGAAGTGCAAGGATGTCATTGTAGCCGCCCGCAAACTCATGACCTCCAAGATGCACAACACTGTCAAGGCATGTGGGCATGTGAACTTTTGAATGAATTCACTTTTTGCCACCACGTTGTAGTGAATGTTCAAATTTCAAATGAAAAGTAACCAGCCCTAGCATACATAAGTCAAGCTGGTTTTCAGTAATTATGTTTGACTAACAAACGTTTTCTGGATATGCTGGTTGAGACAATCTTTCACTTTAGGTCTAATGTTAAAGCGGAATGTAAATCCTACCTTTGTGCAGCTAATACTTAAGAATTCAAGTGAATTGAATTGAAGATACTTGCAGCATTAAACCCTCAAACAACCAGTAATGTAGTTTAAAGAGAAAAGTGTGGTTGAGAAAATGTGAATGTCCTGAAGTGTTATACAATCCTCTCTTTTCCAACATACTCTCCTGGAAAAAATATCTCATGCTGGTCTCTCACAGTAAATATTTTATATATAACCATAATCCCTTTTTTAAAATCTCCCTCCATTAGATTACACCAGACTCCAAGCTGCGTCTCCCCAAGCTCCCTGCTCCAAGTTCAGAGCTGAAGGTGAAGCAGGAGGCCACAAAGGAGGAGATCACGATGGAGAACACAAAGCAGCTGTCAGCGTGGAGTCTGTGTCTACCAGCCTGTCGCATCAGTGAGTCAGTGCAGCAGCTGATGGAGCTGACACTCAACACTCTATGTGAGGCTGTCGGAAGCTCCACACAATGGTATGTTACAGTGCTCAAAGACCTACTGTGTGTTGTTATGAGGTACATATGATGTCATTGTGACTGGCAGCACAATGTAATAGTTCCATGGAACAGCATTACTTCCTGAAAGTAATCATTTAGGACTATGTACAGTATCATTATTCATTTTTATATTTTTAATTTTGATGTAGAGAGTCTTTGGCTCACAACACTGGTTTGCTACTGTCATAACAAAACACTGAGGCTAGTCAAGTCAGTACAGCTACAGTCCACAGTGTGGAGGAGATTGACCAAAATGTTTTTTTCTCAGACCACCACACTTCATCAGTAAAAATGTGTTTTCAAAATCTCTGTTCTTTTCAGTGCTTTACAACTCTTCTTCACTGTGAGAAACATTTTCCAGCTGTTCTATGATGTTGTGCCAACATATCACAAGTAAGAATGTTTTCATTACATAACGCACAGCCGACCAGACCAACACATTTCCACTGAAGGTGTAAAAACTTTGCCCTCTGCTCCTTCATCCAGGGAGAACCTGCTCAAGTTCCCTCACCTGGCTGCCATTCAACACAACAACTGCATGTACCTGGCCCACCACCTGCTCACTCTGGGGCACCATTTCAGAGCTCATCTGCCCCAGCCCCTCAGCGAGGGAGTTGCAACATTTGTGGACATGGTGCCCGGTTTCAGGAAACTGGGTAAACATTCATTTCTATGAACTAATATGGTGCCGAAAGGATGATTCCTCATAATTTCAGTCACCAACACTACTGTCAATAATAAGGCATCAGTAGAACGACTGGCTTGGTTTCATTAACATTTCATGAGGAGATTTATGGTCTGCACTATTTCCTGTAGGTGCCCAGTGCTTCTTAGCTCAGATGAATGTGCAGAGAGCTGAACTGTTGGAGAGACTTTCCACTGCTCACAACTTCTGCAATCTGGATGACGAAGATAATTACATTGCAGCGAGCAAAGCTGTGAGACAGGTGAGAGGAAAGGCTTTAAAAATAAGAATGTAAATGAGTTGTAACAATGAGTGTGTCAGAAAAATATGATGGAACTGTATATTTTATGTCGAAATACAATAAAACTGATAATACCACTAACATTAACCGTGCCATGGTTTTACTATTCATTCTTTCACTTTTCATCTGTTTGTGTGCAGGTGATTCATCAGTTGAAGCAGTTGGGTACAGTATGGCAGGACGTCCTGCCCGTCAGCATCTATTGTAAAGCCATGGGCAACCTCCTCAACACTGCCATCACTGAAGTCATTGCCAAAATCATGATGCTAGAGGTTTGTCTTGTTTTCCATCACGCAGGACCATATAAACAATTATACCAACAAGTCTGGAACCAAACTAGGAGCAGAATTGTTGGTCCCAGCTGGTGAAAGAATCATAATGTAAAGTCTAAAATAATAGCTGGATTTCAAATAATGGTAGAGTCAATGTACAGCACAAAAAGTAAATGTTGGTTCCTGTTAAATTCCTGTTGAGAAAAAATTGAGTAGAATGGAATTATATCTACTATAATGACCTCAATGATAAGTTCATATCATCAATAAGTGCAGATTCCTACAGCTGGTTTCATTTATGGTGCAGTACTGGGTTGATAAAATGTCCAAATATGTGAAAATGTTATCACTATCATACATCTCTTGAAAAAACCTCAACATAAAAGTGATATTATCTTGATATGGTATGAAGATGATCTTCTGTAAACTCGTGGCTGATGATCAATAAGGATTTTATTTCTCTGTCCATATCTGTCTACAGGATATTTCCTCTGAGGATGGGGAGCACCTACACACTCTGTGCCAAACCATCATCGAGGAAGGTCCGCTCGTCTTCATCCCTTTGGCTGAGGAAAAGAAGAACAAGAAATATCAGGAGGAAGTGCCGCTCTATGTGAAGAAGTGGAGCACCTTCAAGGAGCTGGTCATCGTGCTGCGGGCCAACCTGCAGGAGATTGTTGACAGGTAAGATGGAAACTGGACCAAACACTAGATGCTTAATTTCAAACTCCATACCTCTAGTTTGAAGCTCCAACATGTATGAATGTGTACTCTCCAAACCTACACTAAGTTATTGGGTTATTTAGCCACAGAAAACCTTAATTTCCTGTTTTCAGATATTTATAAGTACTTCTCATGACAAGTCCAATTGATTCACTGAACCTCTGATAACATGATTTTTATTGCCCCTCCACAGGTGGGCTGACGGTAAAGGTCCTTTGGCGTTGGAGTTCTCCAGTTCAGAGGTGAAGAATCTGATCCGAGCCTTGTTTCAGAACACAGAGAGGAGAGCTGTGGCTCTGACCAAAATCAAATGAACACTTGGAGCTAACGACCAACAAGACGATACTGCAGCACTTCTTCCTCTGTGGAAAACAGGATTTGTGTCTTAAATCATTTCCATTCTCTGCTATGTACATTAAATATATTACTACTCTATTCCTTTAAGTAAACCACATGGTGATATTAATTAATACTGAGACTTACAGCAGCAGCAGATAAAGGATGTGATGCCATTAAACACAACATAACTGTCAAGTACATTTTCTGTCTGCTAACACAGACACGTCCATGTATGGAGTTGGAACTGTTTGATTGTCTCTGGGATTATAAACTGATTGTAATCAATCTGTGGGATATTATTCTTCTTCTCATCAGACTCTAATCAGTCCCACAGAGATTACACAAAGGCGTCTTTACATCCGCCTGCAGACTCAGTCGTATAGCTTTGCTTCAGGGGGGGGGTTTAACCATGACAGAGCCAACTGAGGTTGTGTAACCGGCGGCTTGCCATCTGTTGACATGTGATGTGGCATCAAGGGTTCATTTTGTTGGTCAAACTTCATCTGTGTTGCAGTGAGCTTGTGTCGGAGGTCTCTGTTGTTCTGTGCTGGTGTCATTTCAGGAGAAAGAGTTTGCTGAGTTGGTTCAGATCTCAACGCCTCTAAATGAACTTATGGCTCTAACGAAGATTTCCCGAAACTTGCATCTCATAAAAATCTCCTTGTAAAAGCAGTGAAACTAAACTTGTCTATAATGTATTTATTGTATCTCAAAATAAACCAAAAGATGCAACTTTTTACAACCTTTTGAGAACCGTTTGTTTTTAATGAATATGATGTTGGTGTCAGTACATGATGCTTAATTTTACAAATAAAATGGGGCAGTTGTGATAGCGGGTAGAAAGTGTCATCCACAAATCAGAAGGTCAGTTATTCTTTCCCAATGTCCTCCGGTTCTGATGGATCTAAAGATGCTGAAGCACTGTATGGATGGGAGAATTTGACTTCTACTTAAAGTGCCTTTAAAGGTCAATAAGGCTGGAGAAGTGATATTTATGAATATAGTCAAATTCACAATCCCTGCTACATCTTGGGGTGCAGAGTCACCTTGGCATAATTTTAAATATGTATAATTATGTCTATGTATATATGTATGTATCGGAGTGGTTTTCTAATTAAACACTTAGAAAGCAGAATGAATTTAAAAACGACCTGACCTGATGTACAGTAGTGACACTGGAGGAGGTGATCTTTTCAGTGTTTTGGGCTGATTGTTGTCAGAAGTTGCTGTGTGAGTGATTGGAGGGGAGGAGACAAACAGCTGGACAGCAACAGTCACACAGCAGCTCGTCCGTCACTCATCGTCTTTCTTCATCTGATCAAACCTGATGACTTCAACAAGGAAGTTCAACTCTGGCAGCAGCCGTGTTCTTCTTCAGCTATGCTCCACAGAGGTATGTGACCATTTACCCTTTTTACAATGACCTTTTCAGTAGATGTGTTAGAATCAGATGTGGCAATCAGAAAAGACTGACAGGTCTGAGTATTAATTTTATAAATAAAATGAACCCAAGTTTCATTCAAATGAATTATTTTTCAATTATTTGACTCATTGTTTGGTATATAAAATCACTGTTTCCCAGAGCTCAAAGAGACATCATGTTCTTTGTTATGACTAACTGACTGTACAAAAATTCAAAAATAGCAGTTGACTATAATTCTCTAAACGTGGGAGAAGCAACATTCTCACATAGAAGAAAAACTGAAAGAAAGAACTGACTATACATTGATTATAGAATCTGTTTGTGGACATTCTGTCAATCAACTCATTGATAAACTAACAAATCGTCGCAGCTCAAACTAATTTAATTTGCAAGAAATTTCCTGTAAATAAATTATTTGGTACAAACTATGAGAAGAGACAGGTGGAGCATTTAAATTAAAACTCATTCAGACTCAAAATAGACTCTGTATAAAAAGATGTTTATATTGGAACTGACTGCAGTTCGTTCCTTTTTTTGTATCGTTTTTTGTCCATTTAGAAGAAGAGGACAGATTCCCACAGTAACAATCTGTCCGTCTCAGTGTCTCCTCACAGACCGGTCGTGGTCAGGATTCAGAAGCGTGTCACATTTTGTGTCACAACACTGTTTAAAACATAAGACAGAAGTTCATTTGACCACATCTGGACAATACTATCTCTAAGCCTCTCTGTCCAAACACAGTCGATAATCTTTTCAAATCCATCATGTTCTTTGGTGTTTCTCAGATTAATTTTGAGGATTAGTGATAATCCCTTCATGTGCGCCTGAGACACTGATCAGCCCACTTCAGACAGATGAAACTTCATGTTGGGCAGATGAAGAAGGAAAGCATCATCGTCATCATCATCGTCATCATCATCGTCATCATCATCGTCACAGCTGCACAGCCCTGATCTACAGACAGATCTCAAAGAAATTGTTCTCCTGGAAGAGCAGCTGAATATAAACAGGACACTGAGTTCTCTACATGATGAAAATGGAAAATTGAAAATGTGTCACTGAGTGTAAACAGGTGCCTCCATCAATAGTTACTATGTGATGTTTTCACAAACTCTTACTGAAACCAGAATTAGCTCTCAGTAGACAGAGACCTCCACCAAGGCCCAGCAATTTAGCTGCACCCCATTCCTAACAATCATAGATATCAGTTGCCTAAATATCCCAGATGTTTTAAAATCAAGATCTATGAATTATATCCTGGGACATAAGTCAAAACAAATGATTTATTGCAATGTCAAAGAAAGTGATTAAAAGTAGTTCCTGGATCTGACCCTTGTCCAGATCCATGAAATATTTTACAGGTTTTTTCTTGGCCTATGTCCCATCCCTCCCTGGAGTTTCACTAAAATAAATTCAGTAGCTTTTGCATAAAACAAATAAACGAACAAATGTAGCAGGGTGAAAACATTATCTCCTTGGTGAGGGTAATAAGCTTTGACGCAGCACTAACAGGGGACATGGTGATGTCCCTCTCTAGCTGCCTTTGTAAATCCAATTTGATGTTGTTGCCCACACAGAGGCCAGACGTGAGGAGAAATCAACATCTTGAAGAAGACCTCAGCGATGAGCTCCACTGTGATGTGCAATAGAGACACTCTGCAGAACATCAGGATTGAGCCTCGCAGGAACTCCATCCCCCCCACGCAGACCGTCACTGCTAAACATCTGCTGGCTTACCTGCCGCGGCCACAACCAGAATCTATACGTTACACTCCTTACACCTACAAGGTACAGCTGTCTGTATTAATCCCTGAGCTGCATCTTAATTTAATACCAAGGAGAAAAAATGCCAAGCTCTATAGTTTGTAGAACAACTCATATTATATATCTTATTATCATTGCATGTATTTAAATGAAAATACACTGGAATCCATGAATCCTTATCTTTTGTCTGTATTATAATTATTACTGTGTTAGTCTGACTTCCCTGCCTTATCTGTGCCCAAACCCCAGCTACTTTTTAATGTTAAAAACATGTTACAAATATGTAGTTTGGTCTTTTGTTCTAATTCTCATAATCTCGTAAAACACAATTTATGAAGCTACTTGTCAATGATTTCACGATCATGCATTTTATGATTTTATGATCTTTCATTTCAGGGTGCAGCTAAATCCACTGTTGCTTCCATGATGATTGCAAAAAGAGCCTCTCTCATCCACAACAACTTTAACTACACCATCTGCTCATCACTCCCATCGTCCCAGGAGGCCTCTCCCTCCCAAACCCACAGTCCCTGCCCTCCGTCCGCTCAGGCTCTGACTTTAACCAAGCAGGATCCCCTTCAGCAGCAAACCATCCGAGCAGCTCCTCCGCCTCCAGCAGAGGAGACCCCGGTGCCTCAACCTTTGCATCGCAGCAGACACCTCAAGCGCTTCAGCTCCAGGTGGCAGTCGAGAGGCTCCACCAGTAGCAACAACGTCCCGGTGTCTGTACTCGATAAACAGCACAGTGCAAAGAGTCGCAAGAAGCGTTGCAAGCTGCTGGGTGATGAGCCCTCTTCGCATGTCACTGCCAGCAATCTGCGCCAGCGTTACATCACCAAGGATGGCAAGTGCAGGGTCAATCTGGGGCCTATCAAAGACAAGAGTCGCTTCATCTCAGATATCTTCACTACAATAGTGGACCTGCAGTATCGCTGGTTCCTTCTCGTCTTCACTATGTGCTACATCCTCACATGGGTGACATTTGGTGGTATCTATTTTCTAGGTGCCTGGTTGCGTGATGACATTGCTCATGTCCATGACCCACAATGGAAGGCGTGCTTCCAGAATGTAGACAGTTTCCTATCAGCCCTGTTGCTGTCATTAGAAAGCCAGAGAACCATTGGGTATGGCTCCAGGATGGTGACAGCTCACTGCTACGAGGGTACGGTGCTCCTGATGGTCCAGTCCATCCTTGGCTCCATCATCGACGCTCTGATGGTGGGCTGCATGTTTGTTAAAATCTCCCGGCCCCAGCAGAGAGCTCAGACGCTGATCTTCAGCAAGCACTGTGTCATATGTGAGCGTGACGAGAAGCTGTGCATGCTCTTCCGCATCGGTGATCTCCGAGAGAGCCACATGGTGGACGCCAAGATCCGGGCCAAGCTGATCAAGTCCCGGCAGACCAAGGAGGGCGAGTTCATCCCACTGGAGCAGTCGGAGATCAACCTGGGCTACGACACCGGAGGAGACAGGCTGCTCCTGGTGGAGCCCCAGACCATCACCCACGTCATAGGTGAAAGCAGCCCCTTCTGGGAGGTCGGGGCCGAGCGTCTGAAGAGAGAAACCTTTGAGATCATTGTCATCCTTGAGGGCATCGTGGAGACATCAGGTTTGGAGAAGTATTTGTAACTCTGCTGCTGTTCCAAAGCTAAGATCATCTTCATAGTAATGCAGCTGTATTCAAAAACATAACATTTTCAGATGGTGCATGGTTGGAAACACCACTTCTCTTAAAGATCACTTGTTTTGACTGTCAGCAACGCCAAAGACACAACAAAGCTGTTGTCCTTGACACATCTTTGTTTCGGCACAACTTTAAGGTTGTGATTTGATTACAGGTTTTCATGGTTTTTTTTACGGTGTCTTGTGCACAGAAGGGGTTATAGCTTTGATGTAATGAGATCTGAACCTCTGTAGCTGTGCCTCTTTTATATGTGTATTCTAACAATCACTGGGAAATCTGCTCTCAAAATGTGTCTCTGCTGCTAAGCAGTAAGTAAACTGTCTAAAACAACTGAGGGGATTCCATAAACTCCACTGTTTCCCATGTATAAATATATTTAAAGTGTGGATCAGTGTAAGCAGGAGCCAGTTTTATGATTACTGGTATTTACTTCAACCTCACCCCATACAGAACACAATACTACTCGCCAGGGTGTAGAGACAGACAATCATTCACACCTATGACCAATCTTAAATCTCCAATTAACCTAACCCCAGTCTGCTTGCCTTGGACTGAAGTCGACGGAAGGCCCGGCCAAGTTGGGATTCAAACCAAGAACCTTGCTGAGATGTAACAGTGTTAGGCTACAACCTGCTGTGGCAAATGGTGCATGTAGTGTGTCAGATGGTAATGTTCAGATGCAGAACACTAATGCTGCTAAGCAACAGACACAAAAAGTACCAGAATGCTAAATGTATTTGTTTGCCCTTTTTTTCCTAAGGAAAGTGCCATTTACCATTTCTCCTTTTGACCTTCTGCTGCAGGTATGACATGCCAGGCGAGGACTTCCTACACAGAGGATGAGGTCCTTTGGGGCCACAGATTTGAGTCCTGTATTTCCTTGGAGAAAGGAGCGTTCCGTGTGGACTACAGTGCATTTGACAAAATCTTTGAGGTTCAAATGTCCCGACTCAGTGCGAAGGACAGTAGCTCAGCAAAAGAACAAGATGCTTTGTTTTAGAAAAAAACACTCCATTTGTACAATAATACTGCATATAATGAATAAATGTAATATTTCCTGATACCTGATAACTTTAACACTCATACTTAAATATTCATCTCAGGGTGGCTGAAACTGCTGTTTTCGTCTGTATGTTCTAAGTTTTGCTTTATGTTTTTGTTATAATTAACCATTTAATTCATGTTACAGTATGAAATAGTTTTATGTTCTATTTAAATATTTTTCTAAAATTGTAATAAAAATCCTTCTACACCCAGTTGTCTGTAGTCTTGCCATTGAAAAATAATGATCCAACTCAGTGTCACCAGAGAGTGATTTCCGCTTTATCTTTCTCATGTGGTTTCATTTAAATAACTCTTTGAAGGCCAAACTGGATTTTTTTTCCGATGACAAATAATTTATCTTCTTCTGTTCAGCCTTCATTAATCATCGCCTCAGCTTTAGAGTGTAACCTATTGTTACTCACTGCACTGAACTATTTCACTGAATATAAAGTTGGTGAAACTTGACCTTCATTCTAGGGTAAAGTTTAGATGAAACACACTAGTGAAAACATCACTAGAATTATTTTAGATTAGCTTCACCTGAATCTTACACACTGAGCCTTTAAATGTCATGTGAGAGGGTTGAGATCAGTTTCTCCTCACTGTAACACAGATTCCCGTCCGGTAGGTGGCGCTGATGCAGGAAAGCCCAAACACCAAGAGAAGAAGAAGCCGTGTCAGAAGCGCAGCATGATGGGATATGAGAGTCCTCCGGCGGCGCGTTGCCGCCATGTCACCTAGAGAGAAACGCTTAGTGCTTCTCTCTTTTTTAGGCGTAGTTAGTCTCGCTCTTTATTATTTCCCTACATTTCTTTACGCGACTTTAATTATCGCAGTTTGTTGTATTGTGTGTTACTATCGCAGCGGAGGACCGCTTCCCGCCAGGCTAGGCCTGAATCCGCGGGCTGGACTGAACGTGCCAGGTGTGATCCGGCGCTGGTTGCTGGGTTGGGGGGTGACCGGCGTGTCGGTGGCCGCGCGGGGGAGGACGAGGAGCAGCGGCGACAGAGCCGAGTTCCGGGAACCAGCGGGACATTTCAGACAAAGGACCAGCGAGAGCGGGATTTACCGAGGGGAAGCTTTGGCAAGTGACTCGTTTCTGTTCAGTCCCCGGGATTTCCTCATGGGCAGTTACATCGGAAAACCCGAAAGTCCCACCGCTGAGCCCGGGAGGCCGAGGGCTGGGAGAAACCCCCGAGAGCAGCTGCGGGAGAAGCTCTCCAAACCCAACCATGCCGTCTATACCCCCAACAGGAGGCTGTCATTTGCTGGGTATGTTTATGGTCAAATCTCGTTATAACGTCCTGAGCCATTAGGAGGCAGTAACTGTCTGTGGCGTTCAGACTACGACGCTGCAGCTTGTTGGCGGGTTTTACTTACTAACTGTTAAACAACGGTCAACACCTGCATGTTGATGTGATGACCACAGTATAGGATCATTCATAATATGCAGCACAAGAAATAACGTGCAGCACATTTGTGATTTGTAAACATCTCACCTTCACATGCTCATGACTTAATGATATAAATGAAGATGCACTATATTGGAACAATGGTCCTCTGAGACTCCTTTGAGTGGAGAATGGAGGCACACACTTGCACACCTCATTACTTCAGCATACTTGTAAGACAATATTTCCTGAAGGTGAAGCATCATGTAGCTCCATCATTGACCTCAGTGCTGCTCTGCATGTTACTCTGTGGTATGGTCTTAAATCCTAATCTACACAAACCTAAAGAGTTGGTGTAGTGCTGGAATCACTTAGTAATATATGAATGGCCGAGGTCACAACTTGGCCTCTACGTGGTCTTGGTGTGTTGTTAAAGAACACAGACACCTTGGCTGTATACTTTTTGTGTATCAACCCCTTCATCATACCGTTTTCTTTGTTTCCGCAGGGAGCCACTTGGCAAAGTGGGCAGGTTCAACATTACCCCCCAGCGTCACTACCCACTGCAGCAGCCTGGTGCCTCATCAGTGGGCATCCTACCTCCTGTCGGGTGGGACGGCTTCAGAAAGAAAAACATCCTCAGCCCAAGAAACTCCCCGGCCGCCCTCAGTCCTGTCACTGTGAAGATTGCCAGGCCCAACCACAGCACCCCCAGGTCTGTACATTGATGCAAGCTGTGTTTCTATTGTTTTGTCCATTATCTAATAATACAACACATGTATGTATGTTTGTATGTGACCTTAATCTGATCCATTGTCAAATGTTGGGTCAGATCAGATAATCCATCATGCCTTGCGGAATTGTTATCAGTTGCATTATTATTTTCTATTATTTTAAATTGACTCTGTGTTTCAAAGTGTTTGTTACACACACAGAGCAATCTGAGTTTTGATATGCATTGACTAAATGATTAATTTATTCTTCAGCAGTAATGCTATCTGAAAGTTAACATTGATAGAAGCTCAACCATGTCCCGTTTTATTTTTAGTTTGGAGCATCTAAGTTGTGCCAGGCTTCCCATGGCCCCTGCGGACCCTTGCTCCAGAGAAAGTGTCCTCAGGGTGTTGAAGGAAAGTCGCAAGAGAGAAGTGGAGGATGACGACAGGAGCTTCACAACTGAACAGAAAAGCAAAAGAAGGTACCAAGCTGAAACAGTGGACACATTGTGTTTGTTTAAGAAGATTTACTTTGATCACTGTTCTGTGTTCTTACCTCTGACTCAAGTAACAGTTTACATAAAGTATACAGAAGCCAAAATCCATCACTCATTCAGTTTTTGGTCAGTGTTTTTTGGCTTTTGCTATCTCAGCATTATTGTCCCTTAGAGCACATAAAGGTCAGTTTGCTCCATTAATTTAAATCTTATTCAAGCGAGAATGCCATCTTGGGCATGGCAGGTTTGGACAGCTTCTCGTCGACCTTATTTCCACCTGTTTTTTGCATGCACAGCTTCTGAATGAGGAAAAGCATTGTTGCATGTGTAAATGTGTATGTAGCAATGTGGGCTAAGCTGGACCAAATCAAGGAATCGGATATAACGAATACCACAGAATTACAGTAAAGAGGGAAAAGCATCAAAAATAGATTGAGGTTGAAACATTCACAGTGGGGCTTATAGAATATTTATAGAGATTCTTGTAAAAATGCTTAGATGCTGAGATATGTCGTTGTTGCTTTCTGCTTTAGGTTTAACATTGTTTAGCACTGTTTTCACAAATCAAGTGTATATAACAAATTATTTTGTATGTTTGTTTTCCATATTTATTTTCGCAGACGTAATGACAGTGGAGGAAGTGCACACTCTGCTTTTGAGCCTCTTTTACCCAATGGGACACTGTCACAGTTGGTCCCTAAGTGAGTTAAAAGTTCTAATATTGTCTTTGATAGTCACTGATAGCAATCCCCAAAGTATAGTGTGGCTGTCTGTGGGCTGATATACTTCTCCTTTGCCTCCTCCAGGCCAGGAAGCCTGAAAAGAGGGATGTCCTCACTGGCGGAGGAGTCCATCATGAAGAGGTCTCGCACCTCCTCCATCAGCTCTGGCAGTGGGGCCCATGCCCCTAGAGGGACCCCAGGCACCAGGAGAAACCCCATTCACAGCTCCTACAGTTCATCGCAAGGCCTTAGCCAGGTAAGACTTGCCTGCAGCATTATAGTGCATGTGGCCCTGCAGAGATTAAGTTGAGTTGTTAAGGCTTTATCTCCATCTTTACATGAACAGTGGAAGAAACCGTCAACACCCAGCTCCCCTCTGTCCAGCCCTGGATCGTCTCGCTGTCAGACTCCAGAGGGAGTCGCCAAAAGAGCAAGGTATGTGTCTGCTGATTTCCTGCTGGGTTCAGTCATCCACATTTAATATTATATTACATTTGCTTAAACTTGTCATTTCATTATCAGAGAGGATGACAGACAGTCCCCCAGTGCAGCATCCTCTGTGAGGTCAGAGCAGACGGCCTCCGACAAGGCTCCTGTAACTTGTAAGTCATGTATGGAAGGCATGTATTGCACAGACATAGACACAAATTTGTTATTTAGTGAGATTAAAGTTCAAAGATTTAAATGTATCATTATGTGATGATGTTGCAGCCAAACGGACCCCAGTCCCCAAGGTCCCCGTCACTACCTCAATAGACTCTACTGGTAGTGGTGGGAAGAGAAAAAGGAAGATCCAGTTGGTGTCCAGCCACCGTGACGATCAGATCTCACTGGTAATAACTGATATATTGCCAAACTACAAGCTTCCTTAAACCCATGCTTATATTGTGATGTACTAGATTGATCTGAATAAACCTATTTCACTCTCTGTGCTCGTTGAATGGCAGCCCCCGCCTCCAGAGCTTGGCTACAGCATCACTGTGAAAGACTTGGATGAAGAGAAAAAGGCTGCCCTCAGCAAGATCCAGAAAGTCCTGGAGACACCTGGTGAGTAAAAGCAACCACAGAAATACAAATGCTGGAGGAGTGACAGATTAATTTACTGAACTTTGAAATACTATCGTGGTGCTGCACCCAGCCTTTTTAGACCTGACCAGTCTTGTTAGGCTGTTGACTATATACGCCCTGAGTCCCTCCTTCGATTTGTCCTTATTTAGCTCCAGAGCCAGAGAAGTCTGTCTCTCCCCCGACCACCACTTCCAGCCAGATGACCGCCTCCTCTACCAGCTCTACCGCCGCCACCACCCTGAGCAGCCTTCTCGCAACTCCTCTGCCTACAGCCTCCAGCACTGCCATCCCAGTCATCAACCTGGATCCCAGTCCAGGCATCAGTGTCAGTACGGCACCTGCAGCTTCCAGCCCGCTGCTGGAGGCGCTGAAGATGAAGGCCGGCACTCCTGCTAGCTCCACGCCTGCTGCCAGCACAACCCTAGGTACGATCACGTCACTGAGGGGAAGTTCTAAAGTCATCTTGACAATATTGTTCATTTTTAAAAATCTTCAGTCTCTTTGAGAAGTTTCCCATTGTGATTATAATAATTTATTTT